ATAAACAAACAAACTAACATAACCATCATTTTCGATCATTGCATCAACATATTCACATATGTGTGCGCGTGTATATGTGTGTTTGTATATATATATATATGTGTGTGTGTGTATGTATATGTGTGTTTGTATATATGTGTGCGTATATATTTATATATATTTATATATATAGTATCTTATCGTTGTGGCTTTTGTACTAATGGGCTGAAATAACAAAGTGATAACCGCGATAAGAGACGAAATAACATCATACTGCAATATATAACATCATCACAGTTAATTAAAACAATACCAACAAGCAAACTATATACAAACATGCAAACAATACACACATACAAAACAATACACACATACAAAACAATACACACATACAAAACAATAGACGCATACAAAACAATACACACAAATATACAAACAATACAAACATATACAAAATATCATACTAGCAATATAACGCAAATTAAACTGAAGAATAACACTCAAAAGTTTCACTAATCTTATAACAAATAACAAGCACAACACACTGCACAGTTATAGCGACAGATGAACGAACGAATGAACTTATGGGTAAAAGAATGAAAGATGATCATTCTTTTGTTTCTTCATCACAGCATAGGCCTACTGTGGTACGTATATGGCTGTGTGTGACTTACTTGCTAAATGTTATGTATGAGAACTATGTGAAGTGCGCGTGTAGTATATTTTCGGCTATTAAGTAGGTAAGTTTGTTGTTATATATATATATATATATATATATATATATATATATTCAATAGATTAATAATATATATGATGTAGAAATGTCTATATTTATAGATAATGTGTGTACGTATATATCTATGTACATTATGTATTAAGTTTGAATGTATACACCTATATATTATGTAAGTAAGTATGTATGTATGTACGTATTATTATTATTATTGTTATTATTAGAGAATTTATATTCTAGCGCCATTTAAAACTTCTCAAAGGCGCTGCTTAAGTCATGAGGCTAAATTCAAATAAAGATGAGTTTTTAGTTCTTTACGGAATCGTTGAAGAGTTAATCCAGGCTGACGAAGGTGGCGTGGTAAATCATTCCAAACTGTTGGACCAGCGACGAATTAATTCCTGTTTCCTCCAACCAATTGTGTTTTTGGTACCGATAGAAGATCCGGACAATCTGAGCGTAACTGGGGACGTTGAGCAGATGTGAACCTGTGCAAACACTCGTCAGACAGACAGGTAACTCGGACCGAGACTATTCAAACATTTGATTACCATGATGGCACTTTTGAATTTGATTCTTTGCCTAACAGTAAGCCAGTGCAGGTTCAATAGACTATGACCCACATGGGCAAACTTTAATCCACCAGTAACTATTTTAGCTGCTCGATTTTTAATTGACTGTATTTGACATATGACTTTGTTAGAAGTTCCATAGGAAACACAATTACAGTAGTCTAGCTTAGAATAAATAAACGCATGAACTAGACATTTTAATGTATGCTTATCAAGCGAATTTCTGATCTGTCTGAGTTTTTGTAGTTGAAATAAACATTCCTTTTTCAATTTTTTGACATGATGATCCATAGACATATTTCGATCGAATGTAATTCCCAGAATATTGACAGATAAACAAAACTGGATGACTGATCCAGATATTTCAATAGAGTTGACACGAATCAGTTGCAATTGTTGCCAGTTTCCGACAAACAAAAGCTGAGTTTTACTCTCGTTAAGCTTTAGTCTGTTGTTTATCATCCATTTATTTAAATTTTTAACACAGCAGACAAATCTGTGAACTAAATTATCAAATGTCGCTGTTTTACAACAAATGGGAGCAATGATTTGAACATCGTCAGCAAAAGCGTGGTAAATAAACTCCAACTTTTCGATGGTATTGAACATATCAGCTGTGTAGAGCAAAACCAACAGAAGTCCTGAAACGGAGCCTTGAGGAACTCCAGAAGAAACCACCTCGACATCAGACAATGCACCGTTGAAGAGAACCCGTTGTGTTCTATGAAGCAAATACAATTCAAACCACGTTGCAACCACTCCAGAAACACGAAAACGACATTTTAACTTTCCAATCAGCAAAAACTGATCGAGGCAGTCGAAGGCTGCCCTCACATCCAATAGCGCCGACAGTGAGACGCCTTGGACATCCATAGATGCAAATAGTTCAGATGTTACGCGAATAAGAGCAGTTTCGGTGGAATGATGTCGTCTGTATCCAGACTGATGAACAGGCAGAAAATCGAACTTAACTAAATGATAAGTGTATGTATGTGTGTTTGTTTATACCGTATGTATTATGTATGTTGTATACAACTATTTAGTCTTATTATTAATTAGTGAAATACTGCAAATATTTGGTCGTTGTGATGGAATGCATTATTTATTATAAGTCAAATGCGTGTGTGGTGTGTGTGTGTGTGGTGTGAGTTGGTGTGTGTTGGTGTGTGTGTGTTGGTGATTTGGCGAGTTTGTCTGTGACATTTCCAAAACGTTTCTATTGGTCGGATATAATTTTTGATTACCGGCAAAGAAATATTTTTTTTCTTCATTTAAATTTCCGGTCGGTTATTTCGGCGTAAAATATTTCCCTCGACGTTCACATTATTATATTGACTCATCTCAAACTCTGTGCCTTTTTCTCTCATGTTAGTAATTTATCTCATCCAATATCCCATACAACTCCTACAGCTGTGTTGTCACTGTTGAAGCTACCTAGCTTCTAAACTACGGCTATAATTATAATAAAACCAATGATCGAAATTTTTATTTCTATATTTCTCTCTATAACAATTATAACTAATCGTCTTAATAAATTACTCTATTTGCTATTATTATTAAAATGTCGGTTGATGATATTCTTGTTAGCATGACAATCTATTAACTCCATTTAAATGGTATAAAATTGGTGATTGTTGTATTTCATCTGCATTGAAATATTTTTATTTATTTTTAACTATAACTGCACATAATGATTTCACCGGAGTCTAATTAGATATTGTTTAGTCTCTTTGCTATGTGATTATAATTACGAAATAAAACACTTAGTACAATTGATTTTCAAGAACACAAAAACAATAAACTAACAATAACAAAATTTCGAGGCCAAATTTTTTATTTATTTTCATAAAACTTATAAATTCAAGAACCACAGACTAACAAATATAAATTTCTAGAGCAATTTGTTAATAAAATATAAACAATTGTTTAAATTTTCACAAATACTTATCTATTATTTTTTCAGATACAGGCATATATAAGATACAACCAATATTTGAAAATTTATTATTTTAATTTATTATTATTTTTTATTTCCACTGATTTAATATCAATCTCCTTATTCCAGACAATCTTGAATTATCATAAACAATGGCAATTCCACACAGCTTCCTTCATTAACATGAATAACCAATTAACATAATTAATCAAACAGCAAGCTGGAAAAATTAATTAATTAACCAAATAGTTAACTAATCAACTGACCTAATTACAGCGGAATATTCAATTTAATATCGTATTTTTCCTGTTTAGTATCTTTTGAAAGACATCTACAAACTTGGCTACTATGGTTGCCATGGAAATCTATCTATATACATATATATATATAGATCTATATATATATATAATATATATTAGGTATGTTATATGTATTGAAAGATATTGGTATATAAGTAATTGTTTATCAGTTGAATGCTTGAAAATAGTAAAATACTCTAATTTTTGCAAACTTGGAGGTAAATAGTTCTTTGTATAGGTAAGTAGTAAGTTTAATTATTATTTAGGCTGACGCACGATGATAAATTCATTGCATTTATTCCTACACATGCATTGATACATATACATTAATTCACACAAATTAGTTATCGATAAATAATATATTATAAATACACAACCACATCTAAATACATGTATCATTGATTACTATCCTAAGGATAGTATCCTTGATCTACATTACATAATGATATCATTGATACAGAGCTGATAACCCACTATGGAATCGATGAAAGTTTATTTCTGTCAGAAAAACATCGGCCCGCTCTTCGAAGTGAATAATTTTTTTTTCAAGTTTTAATTTTTTTAACATCTTTTCATAATTAACACGGGACGTCACCTTAACTTCAGCCGTAGTAGAAGCTGCTTCAAAAGCCGCAGACTTACCACGATAAATTTAATGACGACACCAAATTTTTGTCGCCAATAAATCCATCGAAACGTCTAGCCCAACTGACAGTCCATACAAAGCTAAATTTATTTGGACTAATTAATAAGTTTAATTTCTTTTTTAATACCAAAAAATATTCAAAAATACCCTTCTGTGTGAGGCCTTAAAATTGATAATGATTGATGAGTGGAAATGAGAGGATGGTGGTTTTTATGGCTGTTGTTTCTATCCAAAGGCTCGCACATTAATTAACTAAATAGCTTTTTAATTAATAAACGGATTAATTAATTAATTAAATATTTTTGAAATTAATTTGTTAATAATAATGTTCTTACAAAACCTCTTTGCAGCAGATTGGACTTTGATATTGTTAAACTTTCTAGACAGCAACAAAAAACAACTTGAGCCAAATTTTTTAAAATATTTTTTTGTTAACTTTTTCCTGTTTTACTCCAGATGTCAGGAGGATTCAAAACGATGATTGTAATACAAATTTTATTCTTACTACATCAACAAATAATAACAACATCAACAACAACAAACAGCCATAAAAACAAAAAACAACAACATCAACAACAAACAACAACAACAAACAAACACACCAACAAAAACACAGCACAATAACCTCAAGAAATAGCAATAAACAACAACACCAACAAACAACAACACCAACAAACAACAACACCAACAAACAACAACACCAACAAACAACAACACCAACAAACAACAACACCGCAACATCAACAAATAGCCACGAACAACACCAAACCAACAGCACAAACATAATTAATCATTGTAACAGGCTTTATTGGCCGGTGTCGCCGTCAACCAGCCAGCCGATGTTGTGGACTATTTGAAAAAATGCCTCAGCGAGATTCACGACGGCCCCAAATCTGCCACCACTACCACAGCCACTACTACAGCCATTACCACATCCACCATTAATAATAACAATACTAATAATAACAATAATAATAATACCATAGGTATTTCGGCCGGTATAGACCCAGCGTATGCAAATAGCAGAAATTCTAGCAGCGTAGGTGCTGGCAATGAAAAAACCTCAGGTGACATTAGTGGAAGTGGCTTGGAAGGTACCGGTGGTGGTGATAATAGTAACGATAGTGATGATGATGATATATCGAACATCACGTGGGATAGGTTCATAAGAGGGATAGGAGGTGATAGAAAGACGCAAAGGAAGAAAACGGGTGGTTGTGGTGGCGGTGGTCGTGGTGGTGATGATGATGTCGGTGGCAGTGGCGGTGATGATAATGATGGCGGTAAGTTGTTGAGAAGAGAGAGTAGTGTAAAGAGAGAGGGGTACATCGATCGATTGATTGAAGAGGTCCTGATGAAATCAATGGAGCAGTTGAGAGCTGAAGCGGGCGGTGACCTTGGCGGTGACCTTGATGAAGGTGGCGACATTGAAGATGATATCAAGAGAAGCAATGGTGATGATGCAGGCCTTGGTCATTCATATCCGTGAGTCATCTTGCCAAATTTTTTTAGTTTTATAACAATAAACTGGAAATTATCTCTTCCTCTCTCTCTCTTTTTCTTGCTTTGTCTTTTTGCTGCGTGTCTCTTTCTTTATCTCATTCTCTATGTCTGTTTGTTCGTGTGTTTTTCTGTCTGTTGTTTGTTGTTGTTGTTTTATCTGATTTTTTATTTTTTTGCCTCATATATTCGTTCTTTTATATAAAAAAAATTATTTCTATGATTTGTATATAATCGAATAATCATGGTTGGTTTTAGGAGGTTATTAATCTGCTTTAATGAATTCGTAATGACCAGACACACACACTCACACGCACACACTCACACGCACACACACGCACGCACACACACACATACATACAACACACACACATAATTAATTACATTTACATATATATATATACATTTAGATGAATAAACTAGATTTATTACCCAGACAGACATTTATAAAATATTCACATTCAGAGTTGTCCGCCACTCACTTGCCAGCCAAAATACTTTTTTTAATTTTTCATAATTACATATAATAAAAATAATTAAAAGTAAATTTATGGATAAGTGTGTGTAGAAGTTAAAAATATTATCGATTTTCATCTGATACCCTTACACATTACAATTATTAATTAATTAATTAATTAATCATTATTACTGTTACTCCTATTATTATTCTTCTCATTGTTATTACTGCTACTACTATTACTACTACTGCTGGTACTCCTATTCTACTACTACTATTACTACTACTACTACTACTACTACTACTACTACTACTACTACTACTACTACTATTACTACTACTACTATTATTATTTCTACTACTACTATTATTATTTCTACTACTACTACTACTAATACTACTACTACTGCTGCTGCTGCTACTGCTGCCGCTTTGTAGGCTTTATTCATGTAATCAAAAACAACCACAATAAAAAAACACGTTACACAGCAGGACATTTTTTCATTCGTTCATTTTAGTTAATTTTGTTAAATTTGATTTGACGGAACGAAACGAAACGGAACGAAACGAAACTCGACACAAACAACAGTGAAGACAGCGACAACGCTGGATACAAACCAGCAACAACAACAACAACAGCAGGTGAACCCTCTCCTAAGATCAACAACAATGACATGGCCGACAGTTTCGGAAACGTAAGTGAAGATGTGTCATGCTAATTTCATTTTTTTCCAGCTTTCTTGTTTGATATTCCCTTACAAGCATCGGCAACAAACACAGCGCCTCTAAATTTGCGTGAATCAACTTTTCAAGTTCACTGCCTAGCTAGTTAATAATTTGTTATTCGTACCATTGCACCATACTGATACACTCGGTATTTCAACAGATTCGTGACATCGTACTTCCAATGAGAAATTTATACTTATATCAAAAGAGGTTCTATTCTCTCCCCCTCCATCTATCCACCTTCATCTCTCTTTATGATGCATTCTGGTGACATTCAAGCCTGCTTAGCAAACTGTTCACTGCACTTTGTTTTACTCATTTTAAGCTTTCAATAGAATTAATTACTTGATGGGAGATTGACTGAGGTTTAAAATTATGTTGGGTGGAAGGATTTTGAGGATTTTGTTTGTCTTGCGTCCCTGCAATGTAGCCGTACCTCAGTGTGGTGGTGGTGGCTGTTGTAGTGGTGGTCGTAGCGGCTGGCGGTGGTTGACTCTCGGCACCATTGAAAACTTCTCGTCAGATGAAAACGTGAAACAGCCAAACAGCGCAAAGCTTGCTAATAACTTGACCAATGACGATTGCTGTGATCACTCCAATTAAACTTCCGCGGTCTTTGATGGTGGCACGAACACAAAGTAGTTCAAACAATTTTGACTGTCCATTGTTACGGGATGATCCGATTGGCATGGAAGAAATAAAACAAGTAACACTGATGATATAACACGACATACAGATACACGCACATTCATACAAACGTACATACATACATACACATAAACACACACGCGTGCACACACACACATGCACAGAGGCAATATCATTGCAATACTTACGTCAATGCTGCTGCTTGTAGTAGTACATGGAAAAAACAATATTCATATACATATATACATACATGCATACAAACATACATACATACATACATACATACATACATACATACATACATACATACATACATACATACATACATACATACATACATACATACATACATACATACATACATACATACATACACACATACATACATACTGAGAATGGAAGATACTAACCCATTTTAGTTTTTATATCTGCGTGAGTGTATGTGTGTGTGTGAGTGTGTGTGTGCGTGTTTGTGTGTGTATGTGTATAATTGTGTTTGCACGTGTCGATGTAAATATATATCTGTCTGTTTGCAATTTTTTAATTAAGTTTTGGCCTATTTTTGATCATCGGTGCACGTCAGTCAACACGCAGAGAAGGTAGGTACAAATACACTGTACAAATGCACATCTCATGTGTTTGTACCGTCCTACGTAATATATAAACACACACACACACACACGCACGCACGCACGCACGCACGCACGCACACACACACACTTGCACTCATGTGAATAAACAAATGTTTATACTAAAAATCAAACAGTGTTAATCACTACGAACTTAACTGCCACTGATCCTGTTAATCACTATTGTCATCATCATCTCCGTCATCACCATCATCATCATTAAGATCATCATCATCAATGACATAGCATATTTTTAAACGATCTTTCAATGAAACCATGGAAACAGATTTCAAAGAGTAGACTTGAGTTTGTTCAGGTGCATGGTTGGTGGGGGGCAGGCAGATTTGCAGGTGCATGGCTGGAAAGTAGATGCATGGTCATGGTTGGTAGGGGGCCCAATTTATTAATTCATCATTTTCCGTATAAAACCGCCAAAAAAATATTGCCATGACTATCTTGGTGTCAAGTTTCTGATAGCTGCTACTTTAATCCCCAATTTGAGTGAATTTAATTTGCTTACATTAGCTCTTTTTGGGGAAAAACTCAACCCCTTGTGGCTCTTTTTGGAGAAAAACTCAACCCCTTGTAGCTCTTTTTGGATAAAAACTCAACCCCTTGTAATTTCTAACTGGCACTAGCTAAGTATGCTACGAATCCAAAGAAGCCCAATTTTCCAATAATGCAAGATGGATGTATTGATATAGTTACATCAATCTTAATCTTGTAATCTTCAAGTTAACGCACTCACAACCTCAGTATATAAACAAATAGGAATGAACAAAACAAATAAATAAATAAAAAAAAATAAATAAATAAAAATAAGCGAGGCTAAATAAACAAATAAACAAACGAAGAAAACATTGAAGGGAGAACATAGGCTTGCATCTGGCCTAAGAAAATAAGGCATTGTATAACAAACATCCGTCCAAAAGATGTAGAGAGAGAGAGAGAGGGGATGGGAGAGAGAGAGAGAAAAAGAGCGAATGTGAAGGTGAATAGAGAGAGTAGTCGTTTAACTGCCGAGATAGTTTGATTGGTTGTAGGAGAAAATGAGTGTAAGAGAGAGAGAGAGATGAAAAATGAGAGATAAATAAATGTGAACGTGCGGAATAAAATAAGTTTGGCGAGTTGTCTAAATTTGGTTGTTGCTTCTTTGAGGTAGTTGTCAACTGTTACTTGCGAAAAAATGGCTGTTAGTTGCTTATTTTTATTCAATGTTATAGATGCATCGTCCTTTACAGCGTGAATAATCCCATTTCATTTTTTAAAGTTTGATACAAATTTTCAAGGGTGTTATTTATCAGAGTTTTGAAATAATATATTTTTAAATTAATTAATGTTTAATAATTTGAAAAAAAAATCAATCTTGAGTACGTATTTTTAGTTTATTTTTTTCCAAATTTTAAATTTCGTTCGGCAAACCCTTTGACCTCCAAACGACCTTCCCCATTTGGGCTGCATCAGCTGATCGCAAAATATTTTTTTATTAATATTGTAATATTTTTATAAATTATGATGATAACGTAATTAAAATGTTAATAATACTTAACTTTATTTATTGCTACTGTTGTTATAAATTATCGTTATAAAAAGCATTTAGTATTCAATCATGTAATTATTATTATTATTATTATTATTATTATGAAAAAAATAAAAAATAATAATATAATAAATTAAATTTAAAAAACCACGAGATTTTGAATTAATTAATTATTCAGTTGATTAATTAACTAAATGTTGAAATGTCGTAATCATTAATTTGTACAAAAAATTATTCAATACAGCCCTGCTCAGGTTTGTGAGTGTGTGTGTGTGTATGTGTGTACGTATATATGTATGTATGCAATGTATGTATGTAGGTATATATGTATATATTAATTTATTTTTGTATTGTTTTGTTTGAAACCATTGTCCGTTTTTTGTATTTTTTTGTACATACAGCCATATTTTGTGTGGCGGGTATGTGTTTGTATTTTGAATACAAGTGTCATGTGTTTGCGTGTGTTGTACTTGTTGTGTTGAGTGTGTGTGTGTACTTGTTGTGTTGAGTATGTGTGTGTACTTGTGTGTGTGTGTGTGTGTGTGTGTGTGTGTGTGTGTGTGTGAGAGAGAGAGAGAAAGAGAGAGTGCGTATGTGTGTGTCTGAGTAAGTGAGAGTGTGTGCATGAGTGTATGCTTGTCTGCGTGTGTGCGTGTATGTGTGTGCTTGTATGTGTGCGTGCTTGTGTGTGTGCGTGTATGTGTGCCTATAATAAGAAAAATTCTCTTTCCTTCACAGAACTTGCTCATGCTAAGATCTATTTTGTCCTTGGTGAGTTGGTTCTATTTTGTTATTAATTATAATAATTTATTCACTTATTTATTTTTATCACTATATCTGTTGATATGTTTATTGATATTAATAATTTTAAATGTTTTAATTGATTGATTGATTGATTGATTGATTGATTGATTGATTGATTGATTGATTGATTGATTGATTGATTGATTGATTGATTGATTGATTGATTGATTGATTGATTGATTGATTGATTGATTGATTGATTGATTGATTGATTGATTGATTGATTGATTGATTGATTGATTGATTGATTGATTGATTGATTGATTGATTGATTGATTGATTGATTGATTGATTGATTGATTGATTGATTGATTGATTGATTGATTGATTGATTGATTGATTGATTGATTGATTGATTGATTGATTGATTGATTGATTGATTGATTGATTGATTGATTGATTGATTGATTGATTGATTGATTGATTGATTGATTGATTGATTGATTGATTGATTGATTGATTGATTGATTGATTGATTGATTGATTGATTGATTGATTGATTGATATTAATAATAATAATAGAAAAATTATAACAGCACCTGCAACAATAATATTATTATATATATCGGCAAAAAGTCATACATTTGAAAAAGTGTACAAATGAATGTACAGATTTCTGTATACTGTATATACACAAATCAGTCATCACTCAATATAATGTACATAAAATGTTTTTCATCATTTATCATTATTATTATCATCTGCTCTTAACTGCAGTTTTTTGTATTAATCCTCTTCATCGCATCATCATCTTAATCGCTAAATCATCATCATAATCACTAAATCATCATCTTAATCATTACTTAATCATTATTGTAACCGCCACTTAACTTTCATCATTATCATCATCCGTACATAATTATCGTCACCTTTAATGTACATAATTATCATCATCTTTGTAAGCATCTTCATCTTCCTCATCATCTTCATCTCCACCTTATCTTAATTCACCACATCTGCCATGCGCCATCATCTTCTTCATTCTTATACCATCTTAATCATCTCTATAACATCTCCACGCGTCACCATCTCAATCATTACGTCATCAATTACACCACGTCCATGGCGTCACAACAATTACATCACAACAATTACATCACAACAATTACATCACAACAATTACATCACAACAATTACATCACAACAATCATATCACATAGATGACATTACAATCACATTACTAATACCAACACAATATACAATAAATTCCTTTAGCTAGCGGGTGAACACATGAATTCGAATTCCCCCTAAGAGCTAAATTTAGGCAATCAGCTGATCGTCAAGACGGTATACAACTGTAACAACGATCAGTTAATTGTATGCATGCAGTTATACGGCGCTTATTCGCAATTAGTTTATTATTAGACTGCCTATTATAACTGTCGTTAAGTGCTTGCCTGTCTATTATTATTATTATTATTATTATTGAAATATTTTTGAAGCGCTAAATAAACGAATCTCAAAAATCGCTATCCAGCATAACTGAACTTTATAATTGAGATAACAAATAAAAAATTGAGGGCGACTGTAAAATAAATTGAAGTATAAAAAAAATTAACTTATCCATAACTTATGTGCGACAGCTGTAAGATATAGATGACCGTCAAAAGTAATACATATAAAATATAAATGCTTTCTATGAAAACTACACATGGTTAGCAGTTTTGCAAATCTTGCAATCATCTCAACTTTCATTTCAATTGTTTGCTCTGGTTGAAGATGTAAGCTGTGGTTGGTTGGATGGTTAGTTTGCTGTTTGAGACGTGCTGACGTGCAAATATATGCAATGGCGACCAAATAAATATTCATTAGCTCCTCAGAGCGCATAATTTATTTTTAGTAATATTGAGATTATCAGTTTTTAATTAGTTGAAAGAAATCAAGAAATAAATAAATTAGATAAAATTAAACTAGCTATGTACGTGCATGTCTACGTCTTGAAATAAGAAAATATCCAGCACTCATTTGTTTTATTTTTCTCTCCTTTCCAGGTGGTCCAGGAAGTGGAAAGGGGACTCAGTGTGACAAAATAGTGGCAAAGTACGGATTCACTCACCTGTCGACGGGGGATTTGTTGAGGGACGAGGTGGCATCTGGGTCCGAAAGAGGCAAACAACTGACCGCCATCATGGAGAAGGGGGAGTTGGTTTCATTGGTCAGTCGACTTTTGTAGTGAGAAAGTTTAAAATTCAAACAGCCGCTGTGTAACAGTTGGTGTGCAAAAACAAACTAAACGTTTTATATTTAGAGATAAGACTTAATTTTTTTAAAGACACATTTGATGATAATTAATTTAAAATAGTTCACCTAACACGACATGAACGAACATTCTTCAGGAAACAGTGCTGACCTTGCTGAGAGAGGCCATGTTGAAAAAGGCGAAGGAGAGCAAGGGTTTCTTGATCGATGGCTACCCCAGGGAATTGGATCAGGGCAAACGTTTTGAAGCCGACGTCAGCCACGTGGACAGCGTCATTTACTTCCATGTGGCCGACGAGACGATGAAGAAGAGGTTGATGAAGAGGGCGGAGACCAGTGGCAGAGTGGACGATAATGAGGAGACCATCGTCAAGAGGTTGAAAACCTTTCACGATCTTACACAGCCAGTAGTTGATTACTACGCCAAGCAGAACAAAGTCATCCAGGTCTGTTATTTACCATGTCACTCAACGCTTCTTGTAAGAACAAAAAGTTGAATTGTTACAAATTTATTAAAAAAAATTTGATCAGCTATGTTAATCCTCTCTCACAATTCGTTTTGAATTCACACAATCAAGTAATCACACGAGGTATTAAAATTGTTTAAAATTGAAATACGTCGTAATCTGAAAGTTACAACCTATCAAAAATTTTTATCGTCAAAGATCGAAGCAGAGGGAACGGTGGATGAGATCTTCAAGAAGGTGGAGAGTTACCTGGACAAAAAGTAAGCACCCGCCTACATGCCTGCCTTCACAGAAATTACATTGTGATAATCAATCTGCAATGAACCTGCACACGAGTCTCTTCTAGCTTATGAACAATTCAGCAGAACGCGACATTTATCTCAAGCACTCTCACTCTTATATCGTGTTTTTTTAGCTTTCTACCATTTATTATTATTTATTTTATTGTATCAATGGAATTTAAATACAATTATTCAACAAAAAATAGTTTTATTTCAATTTTATAAGCAATAACAAAATTGTTCAAAGCTTTCGAAATGCAATATGAAATTAGTAGAATAAAAATCGATGGGTAGCAGACGAATCATCTAGGCAAGATAGAATATTACAACTTAAATGTTGCACGACTACAAGTTGAACTCATGTGAATCGAGTCAAAAATTACATGAAGAACTTTTTGACCGACGACGAAATTTTCTATGAAGTACCTATAAAACGTACGGAATTAGAGAAATTTCAACATATTTACCGAATAGAGATTTTTGAGAGTTAAAATTTAAATGACTTAGCAAAATGAAAATATATTTAGTATAACAAAAATATCATTTAATTGAAAGGGAAGGCGAGTAAAAATAATTCAGTAATTCGCGAAAAGTTTTTATAACTAATAATTCAAGCGAAGCATCCTCTGCCATATTTGGTAGGAATGATCTCCAACGCCAATTAATTTATTTTCCGAAGACTTCCTTGATGAACTCCTCGTAGTTGAGTGTTCCGGATTTGTCCTTATCGGCCATGGCGATGATCCTGTTGATTTCCTGTTCGCTCATGTGCTTGCCACACTCCTTGAAGACCTGATCCAGTTCCTTCTTGTCGATCGAGCCGCTGTTGTCTTGGTCGAATCTGCGGAAGATGTCACGCATGGCTGCTTCCCTGTTTCGACGGTTTTGTTGAGGGGTGAAAAGGGGAAACTTTCAATTGATAAATAAATTTTTTTCATTCTTCGAAGTTAACGGCATTTAGACTCCCGAAAAGGAAACGAATAAATTTATTAAATAATATCGCAAGCTCGCATTTGAGAATATAGAGTTTGTAATTATTTTATTCCATGGAGAGGCTACATGAGGTCACAATTTGGTCTTCATCACACCATCTGCTTACATCCTTATCAAAAATAACTAAAATTGAAACAGAACTGCGCCAATAATTGTTACATATTTTTAAACTCTCAACAACTTATCTGGAACTGAATAAGAATTAAAAAAATAACGAACGGTAAAAGATTATAGAAAGAAAACAAAGAGCGTCCCGTGCGAGCAAGTTCCCAATAATTAATTTTTATCCAATTAACTTTTTACTTTAAATTTTTATGTGTGTACAAAGATGTTTTGCGTAAAGTTTGTCTTAGATAGTTTAACGAAGCCTCGGATTATCTATTGAAAATAACTCTAAAAACTAAATCCTTCATAGTTACATCAACTAATTCGATGCATTCTCCTGCCGTTGAAGTGACCGTGTTCGAATGCCAAAAGCATCAGGCAGAGTCACATACCGCCGCATATCTGCCTGTGTCGCTGATACCAATGAAAATTGATTAGGAGAGAATTTAATTAATATCTAATATAATAATAACAATTATTATTATTATTATTATTAAATAATTATAATTATCAAAATAGTTAATGAAGGTGACGAGTGAGGTACTTGTGATATTTCTCGGGCTGGCCTCCCATGACACTCATGTACTCTTCCAGTGTGATCCTTCCGTCTCCTGACCTGTCAGCTCCTTTGAACATGTTCTGTTGTTGTTGTTGTTGTTGTTGTTATCACATTCATCATCATCATTATAATAATAATAATAAAACTCTTTTACTGATCTCAAAACTTTAAAAGCAAATGAATAAAATAGATGAAATAAAATAATATAGCGTTAATGAAATTATAAAATTAATAAAAGTGTATAAAGACCCCACAGCTCATTGCGTTGGCAAGTGTAGTGCGGTAAAATATATTTAAAAGTTAGTATCATGGCATGTCTCTATTGCAATAAGTATTGTACGAGGATCTTATTAACAGTAATTATAATTAATAATAATGGGAACATCCTTTTATTTTCTAACTCCAAATACCAAATATTAATAATGAAATAATTATAAAATCCTATTTAATCTAAAATGCTCGTCACTGCAAGTGAGTACATTTTAGAGTGGCTGGTTTAATTGTTCAATTAGGGTTCAATCATTCTTATTATTTTGGCGTTTTAATAATAATAATAATAATAATAATAATAATAATAATAATAATAATGTCATTTATGAGCGTCCTATGCATAGCGTCAGAGGCGCCCGGATAAACAAGTGTCAGCACGGCCGCCAAAGGCCTGTTCAAACAGAAGCTGCTTCAATCGCTTCTTCAACGTTTCTATTGATGATTGTTGACGGATGATGAGTGGCAAACTGTTCCATATTGATGGTGAGCAATGTGAGAAGCCTTTGTTGACGCGAGCTGATGTATTGACTGGTTGATGCAGTTGCAATGATGGTTATTATTATATTATTATTATATAAATAACATATATTATTATTATTATTATATTATTATTATAATTCCTTATTATTTTAGTATGATAGCCTTTCAGTTCATTCCATATGATAGCCTTTCAGTTTCGGACAGACAGCATTCGAACCATGTAGTCGCGTCATACCAACGCGAAACATGACAATTCAACCGGCTGAGCTAACTCGAGATTTATAAAATTTAGTTAGGCACGCCTTCTAGTGCTAGCAAACGTAGCTAAGCCAGCTAAGCCAGCTAAACAGCTACACCAACGCCAAAATAAATGGGCCTTATTCAAAGACACAAAATGTTTAATTTCCACGTAGAAGTTGTTGTGTTTTTCAATGGTGGTTGGTTGTTATTATGGTTCAATATAAATTAATTTCATTCAATAAAAGATTTTTGTTTTTAGACGTGCACTTCAAGTCATTTAACCATCTGTGGTGAATTAATGTTTTTTTTTTCCACAATTCCTTACTGACTTTTAGATTGAAATAAAAAAAAGTTCCAAAAATACTTATGGAATTGTAGTAAATTGCGTAAATATAACTGCTATATTTATTTATTTATTCATATATTTTTATCCCGGAAAAGGGTAGAAATAATTTCCGATAAAAAAGATCATAAATAACGAATTGATGAAAGGAAATAATTTGTAGTGAGTGCACGGTGATGATGATGATAAGTGTAGGGTGAATTATGATGATGAATTGTGATGAGTGACAATGATGATGATGATGATGATGAATTGTGATGAGTAACAATGATGATGATGATGAATTGTGATGGTGAATGATGATGATGAATTGGGATGATGTGATGATAGTGGTGAATTATGACTTGTGATGAATTATGGCGATGTTGTTGATGATGAAGACGAAAAAACGACGACGATGATGATGATGAATGATGATTATGAATATATGGTGATAAACAATAAAGATAATGATTGATTTGAATGATAACGTTGATACTGAATGATGAAGAAAATGATAAATGTACGAAGTTGAACAATGATGATGGTGATAATGACGAACGAACAATGAATGAATGATGCAGAAATCAATTATGGATGTTTACATGTCAAGTCATCACCACTATCATCGTGATTGTGTGTAATTTATAGATTTTTCCATCCAACCAATATAACTTTGGCCGTTGGATGACAAAAACTTAAAAAAATAAATTGTGGACGCAGTTTGTGCGTGTGTGTTTGTTTGTGTGTGTGTGTGTGTGTGTGTGGTGTGTCTGTGTGGTGTGTGTGTGTGTGTGTGTGTGTGTGTGTGTGCGTGTGTGGGATGCGTATTTCATATCAACATGTGTTACTTGTGTAAGATAATAATAAATATAATAATTGAAGAATTAATTGTATAGAAATGAATTACGCCAATGATGACAAACTTCCATCATCAATCATATATATATCAATTAATTTTCTGTATTTTTTAGGTAGGCGGTAAATGGATTTTAAAAATAATTTTAAAAATAATAAAAAAGAACGAATGAAGTAATTGACGTAATAAAAAATCAATTATGGATGCGAAAAAAAATTCAGTGAATGCAGATTAATTTTTAAATCGGAATAAATTAACCGCGTGGTGAATTTCAGATTATTTCCATTGCAGACATTTGCAAACATTCCATCCCTGCATTCATTCGCGTGCACATTATCTTGAGAAGATGATTGCAAATTCATTCAGGTGCGCACATACAGCAAATGTTTAAAAAGGCAGATAAATTTGCAGATGGACATATATGCAAACTGACAAACAGATAGATAGACAGACAGATAGATAGACATATAGATATACAAATAAATAGACATATAGATATACAAATAAATAGACAAATAGATAGACAGATAAATATAAAGCTAGACAGATAGATAGACATATAGATAAACAGATAGATAGACAGCTAGATAGACAGCTAGACAGATAGATAGATAGACAGCTAGAAAGACAGATGGGTATAGACAGACATGTAAATGAATAAACAGAGAAAGGAGAGAGAGAGAGAAAGGAGAGAAAGGAGAGATCAACATAAGTAACGTTATAAACGATCGATCGCATGAATGACATTTTTATTTCAATTAGCATTTGCTTGCTATTGGACAGTTCGGTAATTTGTGGATCATGTTTGTATACTCAAATAGAAGAATGAATGTTTAATGTATCAAGAAACTTTGTGATGTGTCGCGAAATAACAGTTAACTGTTGATGAAACGTTTAAAAGTGAACCTTGATGTTGGCTTCCGTTCCGGAGTATCCCTTCTTTCTGAGGATGTTGGTAAGTTCAGTGATGGTCAGAAAACCGCTCTTGTCGGAATCTGCCTCGACGAAGAATTGTCGGTACTTCTCTTCAGACATTCTGAAACTGTTTAACCAACATGTTCAAAGTTTTAGAAATGTATGTATTCCAGTGAATGTAACACAATATTTCTAAATTTCATGTCATTAATTAAAAAAGCCTTTCTTGGTACAGTGGCTAAACTTCGTTCTAATAAGAAAGTGGGTAAATGGTAAAGTAAAGGATCCTAACTAAATCAGTATAAGACTTGATTAATCATAAAAACTGATTTTATTGATCGAAAGATTAAAATTAAGGTCAAAAATTTTTGAATATGATTATCAAAAAATTTGTGCTATGTTGACAACATAGTTCTCTCAAATTTAGGCAAAAATTATGTTTTTTTAAATTTTAAATCGATTTGATATACTTTTCCAGTTCTTAATCATACTTATTCGAAGATTTAAGAGTTGCATATTTGTAAAAGCAATCTTATAATCTGATTAAAAAAACTAACTTTTTGTTTGATAGATAGATCCTCGATTGGCAATAAAAAACTCTTCCAAGCCTTACGAATCCGACTGGGAGCAGGTGAACGCTGAACAAACAAAGGCACAACAGACCGATTGATTCATATAGGCAGAGTTGTACTCATGTATGCTGAATATACATTCAATTGCATTTCATACTTGTGTAGGCACATCTCATGATTCAGACTATTCGTAATATTATAATACAAGCTAACAGTACGAAGATGATGAATAAACATTACATATATTTCAATACCAGAGTGTGTATTTGAAGCAAGCTGACGCGAGTACAGCTTATAACACACGGTTATATTTGTGATGTATATTATATGTTTGTCACAACCATATAGAAAAACATATACGTAATCTGTTGATAATATTCATGCGAATATAATTATCCTGCATTGAATTGAAGTTTGTAGTGGCCTGACGCTGTGTGAACTTAAAAGTCTTGTGAAGGAGCAAGTTTTGTTTCTTACATATACCAAATATTTTTTGTTTCGAACGAACTCTGTGATTCAAATCGTAAAACGATGAATGTCGATGCTCTAGGCAAATTCTCTCGGCATTTCATTACGAAATATACATCACTTCTACTTTAGTTTCACTGTCTTAAAGTACCTACCTGCTTGAACAACAACCGCTTAGTAGTAGAAAGAGTGGACAATAAACAGGAAGATCTCTCGATGATTATTCCCATTCTGCTTCGAATGAACTTCACGTTCAACAGAAAACAAAAAATTAAGTCGAGTGCTTCAGGCCAGGCAGACCTGTCATGTATGTAACAACAGTAGGACCTGATAGTTTGATCTATTTGTTTGGTAGTCATTTGTTTTTGATGTTCTCAGTTGAATCAATTCGTATAATAAAAAATTGAGCCTTGAATCATCGGCATCGATTTGTTTTGTGCTATGGTCACTCAGGCCAGTTTGAATATTTAACTTAATTACGAGTGAATATTATGCTTGAAGAGGGAAGCTTGGCGGCAGTTCATCAGTTAGATATTCCATTGAATTCAATCGCTGTCATCATACACTAACACCTTTGCGAAATTTTGAGTATTTTTTTAAAATTCATATATCTAATGGGCTTCCATTAAAAAATTTATTAAGAAAATGAATAACA